CCCTTCTTATCGACGGTGAAAGAGTTGTAGAGAAAAGGCAATAACCCACAAAAGTTGCAAAGATTTTGACATCTAGTAGTATCGATCCCGTGACCGACTCAACACCAACGTGGACCGCAGGCGCTACACCATTGACGAATCAATGCAAGTGCTTCCCTTTCCCTTTTCAACACACTGCTTTGACCCACACAGCCTGGCTGTTTGGAGATCCATCTCTAAAAAGTCCTCCGGAGGACTTTTTAGAGATGAAGTGGCAGCATGTTTGCGCCCTCCACCGCGCGCGCACTATTTCCTTTTTCTCTGCCGTCATCGATGTTAGTTTGGTGTTCTACAAAATGCATAGGTAAGCGTGTAAAAATAAACAATCAACAAAAAAAAATTATGCCAATTTCTTCATGAGTGTGTAAGAGGGGCTTGAGGAATATGGTTAATTAATATTAATAGTGGGAGCACGCGGATTTTCCTAGAGCTCTACGTAGAATTCGTGGAACTGGGTACCAAGAAGAGCCTTGTTTACGCTTTCGATAGAATCTTCCACGATGATACGACGATCTGCTCTAGCGCAAATTCCCTCTATCACACTTTTGAGCCTACTTTAATAATGGCGAACTTAAAAAGGAGACAATTAGTGTAACCATTAAAATTCCAACACCCGAACACTTAAATGTCATCATTGTATTACACACTTCCCGTTGCGACTTTTTTGGAGGGGCATTCTTCAAGCCATTTTCTTGAAAACGCGGTTTTTTTTAGGTTTCACTGGCCGTAACCTCCAGGGAAACAATTTCGTGTTGAACATAGGATGTGCTAGAAAGCTTCGAGCATGCGCTTGCACTACATCCCTTGCCTTGGTGCGCGCCACGCCTCGGGCGCGCTTCTGATTCGCTGATTCATTTGAAAGCTCATTTAGAAGGAAGCGGCTTATAGATGCTCTAGCATCAATTATCTTGCGTAAACGTAATGTGGTGACTATTGTCCATGTTGTCTTAGGCAATACTCCAGCTACACTTTAGTTTCAAATGTGGTTTCGTGGGTGGACCCATGTCATGGTGGGAGCACTTTTTTCGAACGATGCTACATGTCTTGCTGCTGCTGTTTCTGCAAATCTTCCTCTTCATGGCTGGGTCTGTGCGAGGTAAAGGGCTCTGCTCCCACTGCCCGCCACTGAGAGAGTACGACCTCCTCCTCAGCTAAACCAAGTACGACCCCCGTTGGTACTTGTCACAACATAGGGTTGACCCTGATGCGAAGGCTTAATCCCTGCTAACATGTACGCCCAAGTCACTCATGACTTTCGGATGATACTTTAGGCTCTGGATCGGGTAACTGGCACCAGGCTTGTCTGAGAGGATGAAAAGACTGCATTACATGTTGCCAGAGGTGGTGTAGTGGTATGTGGCGCAGATTACCCCCCAAATGGTCCCGAGTTTGAGTACTGGATTGTACGCCGTCCAGTCCTACCAATGATTCCCTCCATGATCGGTGAATTAGAAATAAACTCATTCAGTAAAACAAGAACACTGCTTTGTACATCGGCTGGCTCACATGTCATTGTGTATGTCAGCTCGCGTTCAACATGCAACTAGGACTTTGGATGGAGGCAGGACGCGTGGCGCATTCGAAGAAGGGATCAATAAACACTGAGTGCTCAATGATTTATGCATTGTATCTGGTGTTAGCTAATCGGCCGTTTACTCCACAATTTCTTATAGCTAGCCGAGCACTTGTTAAGAATGTGCAGTTATGTGTTGTGTGGACTAGAGGCTGTTTACTGATGACTAAATTTATTCAGTATTTGTTCGTGCCAGATTGACATACATTCGACGACTTTGATTCAAATTCAATCGCGAAACCTAATGTGGGTTTGAATTAACGTTACGTGAGAGGCTTGTTTGTGATTTCTAGAACGTGACAGCCACCCATCACCATCACGTCCTACACGCATGACATCATCCAAGATAAGATCCGTAAGCACAACAGTTTCACCCGACTTTATCATTCCAGAGGAAATTCACTTAACCGAATAAATTTCTCAACGGTGAGCCATAGTAGTTGTTATTGTATCCGTAACCTCCGAGTCCATAATTCCAAGGATAGACGGGTTGACCACGGAAATACGACAAGGTGAACGGTCGATTGTACTGGTAATATGAGTTGCTGTAGTATTGTCGTTTTACTCGAGGAGCTCTGCAATGAACACATTATGGTGAAATGATTCTTTTGAGATTGTAGGAAATAGCGGGGGATATCAAAATATTTCCTTTCGGTGATTCTATAAATTTTTGTACGTTCTCAACTTTTTCGCAGAACGTTATGGCTCACTGAGGGAAGAGCGGGATGTTACGTACGTTTACAAGGTTTCAGTAGCAGCTTCAGCTCATCCTACGATTATGCATTGCGCCGCGTCTATTCTTTCTTTAGAAATTCCATAGAAGAAGAAGGAAAGAAAAGGAAGAGTATACATCCATCAGCAAAAAAAATATAATTGAAAAAGTTCCGAATAAGCTAAACAACTCCACCTTCACGAAAAATCCCGAGAACATCTATAAGAATTTCTAAAATTTACCTCAGCAATACAGGTTTCAACACCAGATGTGCCTGCCCCTTAAACGAAAATGCACGGTATGCTTGATCTTGGTGCGTGCGTCTCTCACGCTCTTTTTGTTGGATCAAAATTTGCGAACGATTTCGGAACAATAAGGCTGGTGTCAGAGTCCACGATTCGCGCGAATCGCAAAAGTCGCAAAAGCCCATTTGAACATTTGAAAAGCGAATATGAAACAAGTAGAATCATGAACAGTCGTCATTCAACCATCACCATCAAGCAGAAATGGCGGCGGGATTGGAGAGCACCTCGCAGTATTGATCGGGGCACTTGTGATTTCTGTGATCCGTCGAGGCGATTCGCGTGAATCGCGCGACGGATCGCGGACTCACACAAGTCTAGCGCGTAGTGAAAAACGGCATGGAGCCCTTGACGGGTCTTACATATGTATTATAATTGCCTTGGTGATAGGAAGGGCGTGGATTGAAAACATCTGTATGATCGCGGATGGTAACAGTGGGGAATAGGCTGAAAAATAGCGGCGTAAAATTTGTCGTTAAGTCCCTCCCCTCTTAAACTGCCGTTGGGTGGGAGAAAGCTTGCCTCCCCTCCCCCTCCTATTCGAAGGCAGTTTCGGTGGGGAGGGGGCGGGGGAGGAGGGAGTTGGATTGGGTCACTGCCGTGTCGTTCGCGCAGCTCGAAAGTGAGTTACAAGAAAGCTAGGGTCATGTCACTTGTGCTTAAACCGACTGCATCTGTGATTCGTAGCGTAACGGTAAAAGCAAAAGAGTGTGGCGTCTCATTCCCCGCACCACTTTCCAGTCTGATCCCTCTTCTTGGCTCCCAATGTCTCTTCATCGCAACTATCCAGTTGACAGAAGAAGCCCATGTTTCGTGTTTTTTTTGCGTTTTTCGCTGACGAATTCTTTCGCACCTATGCTTTCATTAATGAGCGAAAAAGCTCGTATTAGGACCACATTTAAAGCTAAATTCTTATTCAGACAAAAGAATACGCAACCAGCAACTTAAAAAGTGATGAGCAGAAGTTCAAAAACAGTAATCAGAACTCCTGCGAACTCAGAAAAGTAAGGACTCACCCTGCGACTAGAGCAATGATTGCAGCCACTAGTAAGAACGCGAGTCGCATTTTTATCTGTTCGACACCATTGCCGGATGGTTTATATATGTGATCCAGGTAGTTTTATTCTCTGACCGACTTTCTGCGCCACGTCATTTCACGACTAACGCAGGACATTTGGAAATCTTCACATCTTGCATGAAATTCATTGAGAATTGTTGAAAATTCCTTCCTTAGTTTCACTGCCAATCACTTTTCGTCGCAGTGCGACCACTTGAAGGGAGGGATCCTCGTAAAAAATTTGACAGTGATCCCGCACCGCAGAGAGGATGCTGTAACCCTGTGCTGTTAGAGAATTAGATTCTCTAGAAATCGCTGAACAGCTTGAAGAATAGAAACACACAGAGTAGCCCCAAACAGATGCACCATTCCTTTCCTGAATTCAGCTCTACAGTGGCATACTCGACCTACGAATGTCTTACAAGGCGACACAACACTGAGCCTGAAGACCCACGCCGGGCAGCCGAAAGAGATGGCTATGGTAACCCAATCACTTGCGCGCTAATCTTCTCAAGTTCCATGGTCAGAATAAGGCAGAGGTTCGAAACAGTCGAAACTATGTGAGTATCACTGGAATTTCATGTAATAGGAGGGAGTTAAACTCTAAACCTCTTCACCTTTACATCACCTACGAACTTCTGAGGGCAGAGATGATCACCAAGCAGACTGAAGGTAGCTTCTTGGTGAATCTAAGCAACAGAGCTTCTGAGTAACTACATCTGCTTGCGCATGTAAATCAATAAATGTAAATCTTTACAAAGGACTCATTGCGAATTTTGCAAATAGCACTGAACTAGGAAATTAACGATAGGAAATCTGCTATGATAGATCGGAGTCATAACCTTAAAATTTGTGACGGGCTTTGCTCTAAAAATAGATTTTATTTTTGACCTGCTACGGACTATCAACGTTAGGAACTGAGCCCTGCGCTATACTAGAGTGCAAACGCAATTTAATAATTTTGTGCAGCTCGGCTAACCAGCAATTGAAGAATATTATGTATTTCCTTCGTCTCCAAACTTAAAAAAAGTTTCGTGAATTAAAGATCAAATCGGGTGAATTTGATATTTCCCGCCAATTTGGTCTCAGTAGCTCCGCCCTCGAGCTATATAAAGAGCACCCTTCAGGATCTAGTCGTATTCAGCCTTACTTCTATCGCGTCTAAGTTGAAGCTGTTGCCTGGCTTGGAGCCTATTTCTCTCTTCTATCTCCGGCTTCCCTATCCTGCACTAGTACGATTGCTGGATGTTACTCTTGGTCGACTTATGATTGTCTACTACGAAAAGTGACTTGTTTTCAGGACAAGTGATCAGCATCATGGCTCTGTGGCCCGTGGACCGTTTCGAGCGCATGCTGGAAGAGCCGTTCAGGCGTGTGGATCGTTTCTGCCCGATGAGAGATGCGGACTGGATGAGCCGTCAGATTATGCCCTACTGGAGAGATGCCGATCACTCTGTGCTTCATGTGGGAAATCAAACAAAGGATGTAAGTAAGGCAGAAGAATCAATAATACGCTGGGAGGTTTTCGTTGGCATTCTTTCAGGTCGTGAATGACGAGAAGAAATTCGCAGTCGCTTTGGATGTGTCACACTTCAGGCCAGAGGAGTTGAAGGTACAATTGGAAGGACGTGACCTTACAATCGAAGGACATCAGGAAGTGAAGACCGAACATGGCTATATTAAGAAGTGGGTGCATTTTGATGTGATCCTTCTCTCTGATTGTATCAGTTGGAAACATCTACCTCGTTTTTTAGGAACTTCACGCATAGATGGGCTCTTCCGGAAGATTGCGACCTGGATGCTGTACACACTCAGATTGACAACAACGGGCATCTGTTCGTCGAGGCTCCGAAAACTGGCCAGCATACCAAGACAAGAGTCATTCCGATCATGCCTGCTCCCAAGAAGTAATTTTATAGAGCGTGTATTTATGGATTTCTATTCAAGTAAATTTTTTGTATATACACTGCTTCGAACTCATTGATTTCTTGAAAGCAAATGGGTATCGACGTGCGACACATTGAGTGCATAAGGTCGGGTACCCCCCAGGAGGCCCGTCGCGCGGCAAGAAGGCGAGTCAGCGGACGAGTCGCGCGCGTACTGTAGGGATTTCGCGTCAAGTTAAATAGAATGTCCATTGCACGTCCTACATCGCACATCACGCGCTGCGAACTCGTCCGCGACTCTGCCTTCTTGCCGCGCGACGGGCCTCCTGGGGGGTACCCCATAAGGTCTTGCTCTCGCTCTCGGGAAGGAACCCTTACGATGAATGAGAGATTTGGTGAGTGGTTTCGAGTCAAAGTGATCCACTTCGTTATCGTTCTGGGAGAAAGTGAGAACTGATACGATTACTCTCGAAACTGTCGGAGCGAGGGTTCTGAAACTACCACCTTTTAAAAATGCTCTTCGCGTTTTCCCATGAATCCGAAGCACAACCGGGATCGAACGTGCGTCCAGAGAGAGACCCGTGCATAGGATTTTGAATGATGGTCAAGGTTGCGTGGAGGGGGGGGGGGGTCAAACAGGGTAACGCGTCGCGTAGTACTTCGATTTTCAAGATCTTGTCTCGCAGCCTAGGGGCGCGCCAGGTTCAATTCAAGCGGTAAAGGACAGTTGAAGGAATTATTGCAAACCGACATAACTTCGATCGAATCGCACATATGTTGGGCATTTAGGTAAGTACCAATGTTGTCTCAACTTCACGAAGTGGAAAACTTACTGGTGCTATACAAGTAGGGTGGGCACGCCGCATTTTTTGAACAGAAATGTATGTAAGTGGGACTGCTGCCCGCTACTATACTGTCACGAGAATCGGGGAATTCGTGAGCCAGGGGGAGTGTAGCCAATCTAGGGGGTGGGGGTGAGGGCAGTCACTTGACATGCGTGAAAAGCTGGGCGTGCCCACCCCACTTGTATAGAGCCAACCTAGTTTTCAACGAAATATTTACCATGGTTGTCAAGTCATGAGATTCTCTAAGATGCGACGGTCCCCCGTCCACAATTTTTACGTCAAACATTTTTACGTACGTGCGGCTGCTTGGATTTTTAGTGACCATATCATACTGCTTACTTGTTCCTGTGGTGGAATTTTCATAACAAGAAGGTTTCTTGATGAAAGCTTTGAGACGATTCCGGCATACGTTACAAAGCAGAAATGGCATAGTTTCGGAAAATTTTTCTTTTCACCTAGGCAGATTTTTGAAGCAAGTTATGTTTAAATTTTCGAAAAACCAAAATCCAATAAAAAGAATACAGCAATTTGCCACTTAACAATCCCACGTCAGGAAGCGGCACGCATCCTGCTTCATACAAGTAGAGTAGGGACGCCCAGCTTTTCACGCATGTCATGTGATTGCACTCATCTCCGCTTCCTCCCCCTGGGTTGGCTTACCACAGGGTCAACCGTCACGTTCGAACATTTTCAGGGTTTTTGCGACCCCCTTTTCTCAAGGGGGTCACCCCCTTATCTCAAGGGGGTCCAGTTGCGACCCCCTCTTAGGTAATGGAAGTGCCGAATGTGCTGACTAAATGTTAAGTGAAATATTTATTTCACTCATTTTACTTCAAAGACAGTGAACTAAAACCTTTTAAAGACAATGAACTTCCATGACATAGAACAAAACATTTGAATATTGAATTCTTCACTGGCATTTGAATTGAATTCTTTTCAAAAAATCATTGAATTTTTTTCAAAAATTCAATGATTTTTTGAAAAAAATTCAATTCAAATGTTCAGTAAAGAATTCAATATTCAAATGTTGTGTTCGTAAGTTCGTAAGTTCATTGTTTTCAAATGGACAATGAACTTCCATGAAATATGAACAGAACATTTGAATATTGAGATCTTCACTGAAATTTGAATTGAATTGTTTTCAAAAAATCATTGAATTTCTGAAAAAAATTCAATATTTTTTTCATGTTGCCCAAAACTTCAAACTTCATGCTTCCGAAAGAATCACAAGAGCAGTTCAAGGGAGTAAATCAAAGAGAGTTACGTTCTCCATCAATGCATCTCCTAAGATGAGCCCCAAAGGAGCAAGAATCACAGGGCACTGGCTAATGAAAGCTATTTTTTATGGTTAGCCTCGCGAGATCAAAATTTTTGTTCGCTCACAATCACGCCAAAATGAGGATGAAAGCGAAATGTGTAAGACCAAATGGAGGGATATCCAACAAGTAACATGAAGACTGACGAACTTCTGCTCAAACAGCTGAAAAAAGAGGAAGGATTAAAGAAGAGTAGGACTGACATGATTGCGTCAGAAACCGCCGCAGAAAGCGTTTGCGTTGCGGCGTCAACCTTGGAGCGCGGCAGGTATCACCCGGACGCTGGAAAACTGGGACGCGGCGAAGAAAAAGTTTTAGGAGAGTGTAACTTTCTTGAGACGTATTTGTTTCACTTATTGAGGTAGGTTTAAACTGTGCCTGAGGTGGCTTTACAGAAAATTGCAAGGATGACCTAACTCTCCCAAAAGTATTTCTGTCAGAAGCGGAAAACCCAAAATTCTGAGAAGGCGCACCTCCAAACTTTGAGAGCTCATAAAATCTTTCGTATGCGACATTTTGGAAATTTGTGAAAAGTTTTAGAAACTTCAAATATTTCTCTAACAAAAGATTATAAAAAGTTAAGTGATTGTCCCCTTTTTCAAAAATTTGCCCCGTTCGAACAGTTCCCGTGCAAAACCGAGTTTTTAAGCTTTCAGCGACTATAACTCACTTCATTTTGATTGCTGTGTTTCCCTCTTTCCATGGGGTGAAAGAGCAGGTTTTGCTCTTTCTAATAAGCCCTAAACCATTTTTCAAAGTTCATTTTTCGAGAAAATCCCACGTTCGAACATTTCGGGCGGTTTTGCCGAACACATTCTTTGAAATCGCGAGTTTTTGGGCTTTCAACGAGCATAACTCGCTTCATTTTGATTGCTGCGTTTCCCTCTTTCCATGGGGTGAAAGAGCAGAATTTGCTCTTTCTAACAAGCCCTAAACCCCCCCCCCCCCCCAGCACCACCCCTTTTTCAAAATCTCATTTTCCGAGAAAATCACACGTTCGAACATTTGGATCCCATAGGTTTTTGAGCAGCACATGCGAGGTTTCGAGCTTTCAGCAATAATAACTTCCTTCAAAGAGCATGTTGGAAAGAGGCGAAGACATTTTTGAAGACCGCGAGGTTTCTTCTTTCTTATGTGTTTCACGATTTTGTGGAAGAACCGTCCGTAGAAAAGTAGGTTCCCGAAGAAGTTCAATTTCAGCCACAAGAAGTCAAACTTTTCATGGAGATGCATTCAACTGTTCTCTATTCCTCAAGGAAAACACCGTAATTTGCCCAAAACTGTCTCTCTTGTGCATAATTAATCGAATCTAATGCGGTCTGCACAAACAATTCTTGCCCTCGGATACGCCACGCACGCGCCTGTGGCTGACAGTCCTCGAAATTGCGACCCCCTTCCGACCAAAATGCGACCCCTTCGTTCGAACAGTTCGAACAGGTTTGACCCTGATGACGGTTGACCCTGGTTAGACCCACCCTCTGCTCACGAATCCTCGTATTCCCGTGAAGTGCAGCCACAGCCAGTCAGGGTCAAGCGTGCGTTGAGGAATCCTCGACAGGTCACAGGGGGGGGGGGTCGTATTTGGCCTGCTGGGAGGAAGAGATCGGGCCAGATTGACGCAATAGGAAGGATCGTCAGACCATCGGAGGACAAACATCAAGGGCCGATGCCAGATTCAGTCCGACGGCCGTGCCGTACGAACTGCGCAACCGGCAGCGGTATGCTCTGTGGCCGAAATGGAAGACGTACTGTTCGAGGCGTAACGAGGGCTCCACTTGTGTCTAAATATGGGGCAGCTAGCTCACTATGCAAGAGGAGTCATGTGGCAGCAAATTTGTGGAAGACGCACACAACTTACGGTCACCCTTCTCCTTAACCTATTGCGGCTATCGGGCACGTGCATCCGGCGCCAGTTTAAACTCCACGCCGTGTGCTGCGCAATTGATACAGAACTTTCGCTTAAATATACACATCTCTTATATAAGCTCTGTAGATATGTCTTACATAAATATTTCATGTTTATGTTTGTTCAGTGGGGCCAATTATATCATGGTATAGGGCAATCAAAAGTGCGGCTCAATTGAAGGTGAATCCCGAAAATATAACTAAAGCAAAATGAGATAGAAGTGATTGAAGTAAGGCTTTTTTTATTGTTCCAACTGTAGAAGTTGTAGTAGTTTCGGTCTTTGATTTTACTAGGATTTGGTAAGAAACTTGAAAGGATGCGACTGGAGCTTTTCGCAACAAGTACCTAATTCAAAAATTCCTCCACATTGCGCAGTCCCACATCTGTATGATGTACTCCAGATTCGGAACTTCATTCTCATAAGATTAAAGCACGAAACAATGTAAATATCCTCTAAAAAGCCGTCCGCGGGAGTGGTTCGTTAGAGCAGAAAGCGACTCGCGCTTCGCAGCGCGAAACATTTTTCGCTGCAGGGACCTCAGGTCCACCGCTGATCATGAGTGGACCTGGAGTTCCCACAGCGAAAATGTTTCGCGCGGCGAAACGCGAAAAAGCCGCATCTGTCAAGCAAGCCACGCCCGCTGCACGCGAGACGCATGAGGATAATATTGTCATGGTGAACATCGCTTCGAGATAATGGTAGCGATAGTACGATCCCGTCTTCGAAGAGCTTTTGACATCACCGCTTCACAATCATTACGACCCCCTCTGATCGTCAATGGTGTCAGTAGTGATGTTGATTCTATTACTACGTGACACACTGCCAGCAACGCCCCAAAGCGCGCTAAAATTGCTGAGGGAGGTGTTATGAATAATGGTGAAACAGCAAATTTTCGTGCTTCTCATTTATTTTTCCACCTTGCCCAGTGTCCTTCTTCCTTGCTAGTGTCCATTCTAG